TGGTAACTGCTGTACCTGGGGGTGAGGTGGAGTGGGGTGGGTGGGGTGGGTGAAGTGAGGTGAGGTGGGGTGAGGTGGGGTGCTTCTGCTTGGACCAGAACCTTCCTCTGAAGAAATCGGGTTTCCTGCAGTCCCTCTTCGAATGAGACTCATGGTGGGGGTGTGGGTAGCCTCATCCCCGCCCCCTCATACTCCACAAGGGAGCCCTTGTAGCTTAGTGCTAAGAGCTGTGCTGCTGACCCAGAGGAACGTGGCTCGAATCCACCAGTTGCCCCAGCGGAGAAAGATGCGCCACCTCCTCCCCTGCGATGAACCGTCAGCTGGTACGTTAACAACAACACTTCATAGATTGAAATCTATTGCCCTGGGCTCCATCCCACCTTCGATAGTGCAGACACTGGACAGGTAGATGTCATTACCTGGCTCACCTATGAGTCCCTGGGGGGCACAAAACGTCTGTTACTAATGGAAGATTCGAGGTTCAAATACCATATGCATCTGGGGAGCTCTGTAAGGTATAGTTCTACTCACACAGAGATGGTGTCTTGAAAAGCTGGCATTAACCCCATGGTGACTGTTTTCTTTATCCTCACTCCAACACTGACTGTAACACAAAGTTGCTTATGTACAAATAAGATCTTGACTCTGTATAACTTTTGATGGGTCAATGTTCACCCCAAGCCAACAGCTCAGATGAGCATAGCACCAAGTCTCGAACGAAATTCTTCTATTTGGGGCTTCTTTAAAAAAATTATTATTTTTGTGTGCGTGTACTGTCAAATCAGATCTGACTGGTACAGGAGGAGATTGTCCCTCCTTTCTCGGCAGAGCATCAGGTGGATTAGAACCGTGAGCCTCTGGGATTGTAGTTGCAGCTCCTTGCCACTAGGCCACCAGAGCTCCCCTTATTTGGGGCTTTTCTTATTTACAGCTGTTGCGCTATTCCTTCATCTCCCCAGGTGATGGGAGTCGTCTCTTCATCATCAGGGCCACAGAACCGCCACTCTGAACAACAGGCCTCTCCCTGTAAGATTTGCTCCCTCTCTCCGGCTTTCCACCGCCACAGCCCACCTTCAAGTTGCTGAGGTTGACTTTTAGAAGACGCTGTGTCTACCTTGTTAGTTAGAAATCAGCTCTGCCCCCCGCCTCCCCGCCAGCACCATGCCTATCAGTAGAACGTGCGTCACAGGGTCTCCGAGGCCGTGAGCTTTAGGGAATGCGCCACCAGGTCTACCTCCCAGGGGGGTCTCAGTGTAGGTTAAAGCGTCAAGCTTCCGCCTGGAATTTGAGTGTTTATACAAAACCAGCACGGCTAGGATGCAACTGGTTGACTAGAAAACGTTGTTGAGTTGGCTCTATTCGCAGCAGCCTTATTGGACAGAGAGCAACCCCAAAGGGATTTCCAGGCTAGAACTCGTTAGGGAAGGGGGGGTGCGGGGGAGGCTGGAGAAGGGGTTTCCAGGCTGTAAATCCTTATGAAGCGGGGTCTTTTCCGGGGGGGAGGCTGGAGAAGGGATTCCCAGGCTGTAAATCCTTATGAAGTGGGGGTCTTTCCTAGGGGGGAAAAAGAGAGAGGAAAAGAAAATCAAAGGCTGAAAATCCTTATGAAGCAGGGTCTTTCCTGGAGGAGAGGCTGGAGGTGAGTGGGCTGGAACCCTTGGGATTTCAGTTAGAAACTGATTACATAACCCTGGCACTGCTGTAGTAGATTTTCCTAGGGAAAAGAAGGGAAACTCAGTACAAAAAGTCCCACTTTTTTACCTAGTCCAGAGGAGGGGACACTGAGAACTGAAGGCTGGAAGTACCAAATGCACTATCTCTCTGTGAAGTCTTCATTATAACACAGACCAGCCCTGCTCATGTGTGGTCCCCTCCCCCTGTTCCTGGCGCTCTGTGAATTCTAGAGCCAGCGTGAGCCCTGAGGGGGGAAACTGAGGAAGGAAGAATCCCGAGAAGACGTACTCACCCAGCCTGGCCTCTTGACCTCCTTGCTTGTCCCCTTCAAAGAATCCAGCTCGAAACAAGGGATTAAATAGCCCTGGTCGCCCTTGATTGCCGTGAATTTGCTTCTTCACACTGATTGGAAGGGCTCTTGGCTCGAGGAAGCCGGCCAAGTGGAGCTGCTTGGTCTTGATGTCTCCACCTCAGGTGTGAATGATCTCCCTGGAGGCATTGCCGAGGGCTGCAGGCCTGAAGATGGGGGGGGGGTGGCTCTAACACACAGTCTCCCAGGGCATCTGTGAATGACGGTCACCTGCTCCCCAAACCACACGTGAACAGAGAGAGAAAGAACAACAGTGACAACCACGTAACAGTCACTGTCTTGCTGTCCTCGCCTCGTGATGATCTCGAGGGTGACGGGGCCAGAGCTGGTCTCTGCCAGGTGTGCAGGGCTAAGGGGTGGTCTTCACAAGTAGGTTTCTAGATCTTTCTGCTGACAAGCCATTCTGGGAGGACCCACTGTGAACCTTACTGTTGGTGGCGGAGTGTGTTAGCGAGGGCATCACCCACGGGTCCGTGCCCCCAGCGATGGTTGCTAGGAGGCTGGAAGGGAACCGTGTCTCCGAATCAACCAGCATTGGTAGGTTGTGGTGTGAGGTCTGCCTTCCCCGCCGGAAGCTTTTTGGCTTCCATGGCGGCGCCAAACAGGAATTTTTTTATATGTAGGTAAAGGAATGCAAACTCTTGAATGAGTAGCTCTGGAAGTGACAGATAAAATCACAATTTAGAGGTGTCAGGTCAGTCTGAAGACTAAAGTGTGCCTGATTCAAGCGGTGGTCTTTTCAATCACTTGCTATTCATCTGAGAACTGGTCCCTGATGAAGGCTAGGAGAAGGATTGATGCCTTTGAGTTGTAGTGCTGGAGGAGAGTATTGAATTACTCCATCGGCTTCCAAAAGGACAAACAGATGAGCCTTGGGGGTAAAAAATGTGCAGCCAGAATTCTCCTCGGAAGCAAAGCTGGTGAAGCTTCATCTCTCAAATGTAGGCATGTTACCTGGAGAAGCCATTCCTTGGAAGGGACTCCGTACTTGGA